TTTATGTAGGAAGACAGCACCGATGAATACTAATGAAAATAGAAAATTGAAGAGTACCTAGAACTCTATTGAAAAGAGTTTTAAAAAAGAATTTACATAGCTTTGTCTTAAGACATACTAAGCACCACACTGTCTATGGGTACCATATAATATCCGTTAAGTGCCATAATCAGTGTCTTTAACCATATATATGGTAATCTGGTTCGAGATGGTTCATGAAATCCGGCGGGATCCTTTTATTCATTTTAGATTTAACAATGTGAAACTCATATTTATAACATGTCACTTTGTGTCAGTAAGACTCAAATGTTTGAAATATTAAACGAAAACAAACAATAAAATAAATTTTAGTCTATTTCTATTCAGTCAATTAATTAGTTAATTGTCATTTTAATTAGTCATTATATTAGATTAAAATTTCAAAGACAATTTACTTATAATTAAATACTATTTTTTCAGATCTAACAATTTTCTTTTGCATCAGTTAACAATCAATTATTAAATTGTATATTTTTTACTTATCATACTAGAGAAGATCACAGGACGGTTTCTTTTTTCTCCTACTCTGACTGCTGCAAGATAAAATCAGTCAACCATTCCGCTTTTCGTGACACAGGGTAAACCATTGAAAAGTTCGTTCTGCGCATTGACAAGAGTAAAAAATTTATGAATATAAATTTCCATAGCCAAATATTATCAAAGTAATAATTCTATAAAATCATTTACAAGAAATTCTGTTAATAATCTCTATCACACATATCTCTTAGAAAAAAGAAGTCAACAAAAACAGCTGACATGCATAAGCTGAACACAAGTATAAGAGAACAAAGGCAGGGATTCAAGATTTACAATATAATTAATAGAAACATATGAACAAAAAGGACAAGTTTTTTGTGAAACACGATCTGAAAGGAGTGTTGAAGTGTTTAAAGATAGAAATTTGGACCCACCCCTCCTCCCCACAGACCGTGACAGACAGGGCCCAGGGGTTATTATAGACTGTGATAGAAGACTTCAAGGAAATATCAGAAATGATGCATAACTAACATATGATTGGAAGCATATATAGAGTATTATCCTGTTCAAAGTCTATAATGTAAGGTAAACTATTATGAAGAAATGTAACCCAATATGCATAAAACAACAACTTTTAGAACATTGTCTATAGCAGCTACATCGTGTTTCACGTTTTAAATTTCGCAAGGGATTGCGCTAACAGTTTTTTTTTTTATACTGGTTGCTCTTGAATTTCTCCTGTGAACAAATAAATAATGTTATCAGTTTGACTTGGTGATAAACCTACTCATATTTGGGTAAATGTCAATCCAGATAAGCTGAATACTTTTTTTAAAGAAGCATTGGTCGCTGTTATGACATGTATTCTTATAATTACTATTTATATTAATAAAAACTACGACGAGTTTCATTACTAGACCAGAACTTTATTGAATCTCCATCGATTAGGTGACTCGAGTGTATAGATGTGCAGGGTAAGCTGTTTTTCATACTCTGTACTTTGATTGAGCAAAAAGTTCTGCTATTACCTTACCGTATAATACTTGAACCCTTATCCTATCCTAATCTGTAAAATTTCTATACCAACCTTTTCCTACGAGGGTGTGGGTAGGCGCGGGTGTAAGTGTGACTGTGGGTGATCGAAAAATGGAAAACTCACACCCAAACACTTACATCCAATGTTGAATTTATCTCTGAAAGAATTTCTATCGGTTGTAAATGTTCCTAGTCAAAGATGAATTGTTCAAGGTAGAGATAAAACTCATTTTGTTTTTGAAATATGTACAAATAAACAATTGATTACTTTGATTGAAGACCTTTGATGAATTTTCACTTATATGGATATATTCGTCTGTGAACATTGTGTCATCAAATGTTAATGTAAGTTCATCTAATTGATGTTCAATAAGATAAAATAAACTTCGAACTACTGGTTCAATTGATCCACATCGAATAAGAATAAGAGATTTAAGATTTGGAAAATTAAGAATATTATTATGATTAAATAACCATTCATAAATAAGATCAGAAGCAATTGAATTTGTTTCATCAAAATGAATACGTTGAATAGAAGAAGAAAGAGATGATGATTTCAAAATTAATAAAAATAAAGTCAAACATTTATTATAAGGTAAATCTGACGTAATTCGAAGACCAGTGTTCAATCGATTATCATTTATAGAAATTATTGAACGCACAAGAGAATTGAAACGAATATTTAATGACCAAAAAGACGTTAACATATCAAACCATTCAAGATAAGAAAGAATATAATGAAGAATTTCATTAGGTAATGTTTCTATACTAGTTCTAAGAATCATTTTATCTAAAGAGGAAAGTTATTTTATGCTTTTATTTTTCTATATTCCATCATTGATAATCATCAGTCAAATGACTGACGTCATGATATGAAAACAAAAAGAAAATTATATTTGTTTTTCAAGACTTCATGAATATTATTGCAGTTCAAACAATTTTTACTTAAATTAAAAAGATCATTTCAAAAAACAAAAAAAATACATTCAAATCTCAAAACTCCAAATCAAACAAGACCGTTTGGTAGATAAATAAGAATATTTATCATTCATGTAAAAGTTCTACAATTAGTATATAAAATTAATGGTCTCCATTTTACAACTTTATTAATTCAATTTTTTCATCTAATTATTGTACTAAGAAGAAAATTTTCGCTATAGAAACATATGAAAGAGCAAATGTTCATTTTGCTACCAGATTTGCTATTCTCGATTTTATTTGTTCTTTCAAATTAAAAAAGTCAGAAGACACTTTCTTGCTAATATAATATGTCATCGAATAAATTGATAATATGATTGAAAGCAAAAAAAAGCAAGTAAATAATATTCAGTTTAAGCTTACTATATTTGAAGGTATGCACTTTAAAAATTAAACTTCTAGAAGAATATATTCTGTTGAATGTGAAATCACTACATTGATTCAATCAACATAAATCATAACTGTTTTTCACTATTGGAGAAATTTATTCTGTGAATGATTGTAGATGAATAAAAAGTTTCTACATCGAATGAATATATACATAACTTATTCAAAAAATTATGAACCAGTTCACATAGATCTACGACCAGACATTCACATAAGCTGCTCAATCGTGGTCGTCAGATTTTGTTCAATTTAGGATATGTTGCAAGGAAAAGAATTTTAAGAATTTTCTCACAAATTGTTTGAAAAATGGTCTTCCACTCTCAAAATACTTAAACTTTTCTGAGAAAATACTATTGTTAAAAAAGTAATCTTTTCATAACTTACTTTCATATCTGACTCAAAATACATCGATTTGACTTGAAATTTTTACTGTACAGACATCTCGAATTAATGTACTTACGATAAAAAATAAGTTCAAATGAGTAAACTATTGATAAATTGATCAGTACTATCAGGTCACGAGAAAATGATCATTTGAGGAGGATCTATTCTTTTCTGTGTATACGTAGGTTTTTTATTCAATCAAAATAAAACGTCGAAAAAAAACATATTAAGACAATACATACATAGACTATTGCAGAGCATTCAACTGAATGTATATTATATGATATAATGTTCAAATATGCTGTTTCACTTGTTTGTCAATATATGTCAGGAAAAAGAAGAAAAAGAAATGTTCATTTCTTCTCTCTTCATACAACCGAGGAAAATTCAATAAAAATATTTCTATTCAGTTCGATGCAACGAAAATGTTGAGCATTCGTTCGTCCAGTTCATGATGAAAAAGTCACTGTATACTGTTTTTTTTTCCTGTTGACGTCAATATAGCAAGATATATATCAATTTTTGACGTCAACAAAAGACAAAAAATACACATGAGTTGAATGAGAATAAAGAAAAAGAAGTACAATATAAATATAGGAAAAATAATTGTTTATTTATTTTTTCGATTCTATATAATTCAATATCATTGGCTATGTCTTCGATTGAAAATGGATAACATATACCAGTATTATATCAAAATTTGACTCTATCATTGTCAAAATTTCTTAAAAAAAAGAATATTTTTCTGCCGAACATTATTTTTCATTATAAAGACGTTTTTGTTTTTCAATCAATCTTATTCTTATATAAAATTTTTTTCATCTGTAATAAATAAAGACATGTTTATCAGATGCATCTTTAGCTTGTAAGAAATAAATACAACTTGTTTTTCGATTCTCTTTTGTCTTATATTAGATTTACTATTGTTATTCGTAACACTACATGCAATGAATGTTTATCACAGTGCATCGTGTTTGAACACATGGACTCATCTGAGATAAGAAATCCTCTATTTAAACGAAACATCAACAATGAAAACATGACAAAACTTTTCAATTAATCTTCCTGTCACAAAAAAAAAACTTTTTAGTAGACATGTTATCATAAAAAAATCTATTATGATCATGAGAAAAAATAATAAATTTTTTTGGAATCCGACGTAACACAATTCAATATTTTATTCAATGCGAAGCATGTTTTCGCTACACCAATATCTTATTCTTCTCACAGTCAGAATAAGCAAAAAAAGATGTCTTTTTTTTTCATAATCAGTTTATATAATATCTTTTATTTATTAATTCGATTAAATATGCTAGATATTCTTTGTAAATTGCTTGATATGCAATATGCATAATAGAACTAGTGAGAAGAATCGTGGAAACAAAGTCAATCAGTTTTGTCTGTATAGATCTGTTAATATTTTTACATGGGTTTTTTTAGAAAGATTCTTTTCTTTTTGTAGACTAACAAGCTTGTTTTATCTTGTACTGCTTAATTTAATTTTATACTGAAAATATTATTCAAACATTTATTTAAAAACTATACTTTAAGAATTTATCATAATGGTGATATACTCATATTTCAAGCGCTGCAAACATTTTATAATCATCTGATATGAAATGTTTGTAAGCAAAATCATGTTTCAAATCTTTCCATAAAAATCCAATATAACATTATAATTCTAACTTGAGATATAAAATTGATACAGAGAGATAATCTAACATTTTGACTAATTAATTAAAAATCTTTGAGAACTCATATATTACTCACTCGAAACGTTACATTTTATTGAGTCAGTCGTTTCTCCACTGATGCCAATTCATCATTTATCAAAACAAGAATTATCTATTTCGTTTTCATTTAAACTTGGTCATAAGAATCTGTCAGCAATTACTTTTTTTAGACTTAGCTTAAAATTGAGATTACAATTGATCATTTCTAAATATGCACCAGTTCCAGTAAATTGATGCCTACCTAGTAGAGAGAAGAACATATATTGAATTATGATTAGTAGTGATATAGACAAGCATCCGTATGAAATCAGTAAGCGATAAAAAAATTTCAATACTTATCAGTTCTTTTATTGCATTAAACTGATATAATGAAACTTACTTCGAAAAAGAATCAAATACTACTAAGCCAGTTAAATGAGTACTGTTAACTAAGTGACTAGTTGATCAGTTTAAATCTGAAACTGATGCATATCTAATCATTCACTTGTTTCGTACTATTCTTCGATATATCATAGTTAACATGAGGATCCTCTAGAGTTTCAAATAAAATGTTGTTTAAAAAAAAAATAAAATGCTTGAAACATATTAAGGTTTTTATAAATGAAGTGTGTTGAAGCTCAAAGTACTTCAGATATAATTTTATATTATTCAATTAAAATATCAAAAGAAAGCAATAAGTGATTTTTTTAATAATTTTATTATTTTTTTGGCTACAAGAAAACAAATACTTTTTACTATTTTATTACTGTATTTCGTTTACACTCGGATGTAAGAAGAAAAACGTGTTGATATTAATTCAAGTAGACTTACTTGTGCTATGATATAGATTCGGTAAGTCACTTACGAATTAATTGTTTCGAATTAGGATGCAATCGTAGTGGTACACCATTCATTGATTCAGTTTAGGATCAGCAGTAATGACTCACTGTTTATCAGATCGTATGATGCACTGGTTCATTGCTGGGGAACATCAGTCATTATTACACTACCAAGTAATTTGTAACTGAAAATTTGTACGTTTAATTTTATATGTCATTGAGAAAAGCTGGTTTTAATGAAAATAACAATTCTGTATAAAGTTAAATCGAAAGTTCTCTTGGTTCAGAAATCCAAATATATTGGTGGTTTACAGTGAAAAACGAAGCTCAAAAATATTGAGAAACAAACTAAAACTTCAGATTTCTAGTCTCAAAAGACTTGAATCAAACTTTATAGAAAGTCGTTAACTTCACAAAATATACTTTCTCTGATGAATAAATCAAACTCACAAATAATGTGTTATCTGCTGCTTGGTAACGTAACAGGTAATGATTATGGCTACCAATAACAATACTTCAATGTGATATTGATATTGTTACGTTCTTAATTTCCATATTTTTGCACGCATAGATTGACACGTGCTCTACTATATACAGTACATCGCTGATACGATAACTTCGATGAATCAGTGGCTCAATGTCACCGTTGCATCTCTAGTCAACAATACTCATCATTCAGAAAATGGAAATTCAATAGTAATTGAGTTGGAATTTATGAGATTCGAAGGAACTCAAAACATACTACAATGAAGAAATCTGAAGTGTTGTCACACACTATCTCCTTGTTTGAATTGCAAAGACTGCCATGTGCAATCCCGATGTGGATACTTCAAGTATTGAGTCCCACTTGATTTCCTTGAATTTCCAATTTGTGAAAGGGGGAAGGGAAATATATCTCGGCATAATTAAATTTCAACTAAATATTATTGTGAATTGCTTGTTAAGTGTAATACTATATTGGTGTCATTGAAAATCATCTCGAAAAGAATATGAAAAATTTGTTTCATCCTTCCCAAATATTATGAGAGATACAATATAAGTGGAGCTGAACTTCAGCATTATTCAAGTATGTTTATAGAAACAGGCACCGTTCTTTAGACTTCTCACCGTTTTTTGTCTTGCATGTATTTTATGCAGAAAACATTTATGCCTCATCAATTTTCAATACAATCAATTAATTAATAAAGAAATAACCTTGAATTATTTTTAAAGTTCTTTCTTTAGTGTTTTAATCTAAATGCTTTTGAAAAATTGCCAAAGTTTTTTTTTTTTGGTAACAAACACTATTAAGTGAATTTAATTTTAAGCTTATGTAGAATGAATGTATATTTAAATTTATTTGAAGAAAAAAAAATATCACTTTTTATTTTATCTTATAGATGAATAAAAATAATAATACAAACTGCGTAGAAATATAAAATATGTAATAGAAAGATTTTCTTGCCAAGATTAACGTTGAGTCAAAATAAAGAAAGATAGACTAGATAAAACTAATATATCAATGTTGGTAAATATTAAAAGGATTGTTCAAGCTTATTTTTCAAGATCTTTCTTGGCAATATATTTGATAAGTTCAACAACACGATTTGAATAACCATATTCATTATCATACCTATAAATAAAATTCTTGTATTTCATACAGAAGAAAAAATATTCAATAAATCAAAGCATACCATGAAATGAGTTTGACAAAATTATCATTAAGTGAAATAACTGCTGTAGCATCAAAAATTAATGAATGTGTATCACCAATGAAATCTGTTGAAATAACTTGATCATCAGTATAACCCAAAATACCTTTCAATGAACCATTGGCAACTTCTTTAATTGCAGCACAAACTTCTTCATATTTAGCCTACATAATATATTTTATTTAATAAACTAAATAACAATTAAAAAAAAATGACTTACTCCTTTGTTTAATAGAACAGTCAAATCAGTAGCTGAGACACTAGGTGTTGGAACATGAAAATATATACCAGTTAATTTTCCATTTAAATCAGGAATTATTTTTCCAACCTAATTACAAACAAATCTAAATATTTTACATTTTAAAGATAAAAAAACAATCCTACAGCTTTAGCATCACCAGTTGATAATGGAATAATATTTTGTGTAGCTCCACGTCCATTACGCCAATTCTATAAAAATAAAAAATAATTAAATATTATTTTATTCTTGTTTCATTTAATACTTTATTTGATGATTCATCAACAGTTTTTTGTGCAGCAGTATATGAATGTATAGTTGTTATTAAACCTTCAATAATACCAAATTTTTCATGAACAACTTTAGCAAGTGATGCTAAAGCATTTGTTGTATATGATGTAGCCAAAATGATTGTTTGGTTTTCTCTATATTTATCTTCATTGACTCCCATAACAAACATTGGAGCATCAACTGATGATGCTGCAATTATAACCTTTTTAGCAC